GATTCTTTGGGCTCAATTCCGTGCAGGTGAGTTGAGTTAACTGTAATTTGGGTTTGTTTGATTATGCATGACGGTAATCGTGGATCTTTGGCTCGGATAGGCCGCTATGTGATTTGTTGTGAATTGTGAACTGAGATTTAAATTAAATTGATTTTGTTGATGAAAATTGTGGATTATGAATAATATATGGGAAATAGGCCACCTAGTATAATTAGGCGGACCTGAATTGGATTGACTGATTGAATCACCAATAGGATATGGTTAGGAAATTGGTCATTGCGGGGCGTCGTCGCACACCCGGTGGTCTTGGGTTAAAAACGTACGTACGGAAGTCCGTGACCTGTCCTGGCATCGTAGGGACAGGGGCTTCAACCCGCCCAAAGTGAATCTCCTTTGGGTTTTTGAGCTGGCCCTTTTATAGCATCGCTTGGGGTGCCATGACTCAAAGTAGTTGATGTGGAATAAAATAAGGACATGATGTTCAAATGGAAGGTGTTAATATAAATATTTCTATTTAAGCTATTTTTCTTCGTGATCACATGCTGTTGCTGATTGTATGTTAATGTGGTGCTATTCAGTGAGTTAATGCTGGCTTAGGTATATTTTCACTCAGCATTTTGCTGAGCGTGTAGTCGTTGTTGTTTGACTGCACGCAGGTAAGAACACAGATTTGGATGGACAACCCAGAGGGCAGTGAAGTGGTGGTGTGGTGTGGATGGATCTTGTTTACTTTAATAATTAAACTACGTAATTTTATTTGATTATATAGATTGTTGGACGTTACTTGGGTTTTCTTATGCTTCCGCGACATTTGGATTTATTTAATTATTCTGATGAGTTTGGGTTTAGTTAAAACTCTACGGACGAATTTTATAATTGACTTAATTGTTTATTTTTAAAGAAAATTTATGCATGCGAATGGAATATCAACTTAGTGAAAACCCGGTTCGCTAACCCGTTGGTTCGGGTTACGCGGGTTGGGGTGTTACATTTTGGTATCAGAGAATGTGGTTTTAAAAACGATTCTTTGCCAAAATAATTAAACTCATATTTTATAAAAAAACTCTTTTTGTTTAAAAAAAAGTATTCAATTTTAGAAAAAAAAACTATTTTGTTTAAAAAGAAAAAAAGATGATGTTATCAATTTTAAAAAAATGATGTTATGAAGTTTGAAAAAAAACTATCATTTTAACACATATTGTATATACATGTGTCGAGCATCCACAGCTTCACTGCGTCACTGCTCTGGGAGGTAATTTTGAATCCTTATTGTTGCTTATGTGATAATTATTTGTTGTCTTTAATATTTAGTTATTGGTTGGTTTATTAGGTTATATAAAGAAACTTATGTGTAGTGGATTTGGAGGGCAAATCTTAAATTAGGGCTGTATTTGATGAGAAGAAAAAAATGTGGATTTTCATATCTCTAATATCAAAGTCCTAATTTTGGTGTTGGTAAACTAAAAAGAAATTTAATTTTGAAAGCTAGAGATATGGGAAATTTCCAACCTTAATTCACCGCTATCGAAAACGAGAAAGACGTTAGCAAAACCGAAGGAGATGATGATGGGAAAACTTTGTCTCAATACATCAAAATTCTCTTATCTTCGCATCCAACTCTATGTCTCCTTCCCATGGGGCAACGGGAAAGTCGTGTATCTAGCAACAGATCTGGATCATCGACGATGATGGCCGAGGAAAATGTTTCCTATTCATAACCCATGCTCACCGTTTAATTTCCTATACGTTCATCTGCAACAAACGAGCTTAAGTCAAAACTCACCAAACGAGCCTAAGTCATAATCCACAATTACCCATGACGACTAGTGCGATCATGTTATATTGATAATTGTGAGAAAGAATATATTATATTACATGTTCATAACATGTGTAAGAGTTAGTAAAAAAACCAAAAACACATAGTCACAGTTGAAAATTTCAACCATCAGAGTCGGATTTAAAACGTTAATAGTTGGTACGTATAAAGAATGTAAATATGAAAGAAAAAAAAGTGGAATAAAAGAATCTAGACATGAACTTAGTTGCCGGTGCCAGCTTGAGGAAAATGGATAACTCACAATTATCCTCGAAGTTGATTTCGATTAATTTCAGACCAAATTTGTTGTGCTGAGACTCTCAAAAGATAATTAGCTGTCTCAAAATTGTAGCATCACACCACCAAAGACTTATTAATGCCTAATATTGAAATACAAGGTGGCTCAATAGTATGAGATGAATCACACAACGTAAATATTCTAGAAGAGAATAACAAGATATGTACTGATTCTTTAAATTTTATATATCGAAAAAAACATCTCAAGTTGAAAATTATAACTACCACCATGTTGTAAAGTATATGTAAAACTTGATGTCTAGAATGAATTGTTCCCAACAAATAATTGTTGAACGAAGAAAATGAAAACAAATATTATGGGTTGAACCATTAGGATTAACTCTAAACCAAAGTATTTTGGTGAATACACATAATTTGAAGCAAATGAAAAAAAACTTATAAATTATTAGCTACTTAATGAACTCACGCAGCTAATAATAAACATCATATTAAACAGTGGTTCACAAGGAAGAATTTTTGAATTAGACAGTTTTGTGGGTAGTTACCATATATTTAAAAAAAATTACCATATATTTAGACTATGTGAGGGATTACTATCTAATAAGTTATCTTTAGGAATATATATATATATAATATATAAGTGAAGTGGACCGCCGTTAGATTACATCCGAAGAAAGTAGCTAAGGTTACTTTTAAAAATTTAAAAGTTTTGACCATTATGATCCTTTTAATGAGATTAATTTTCTAACAACTTATTAATTAGTACAAAAACAAATTGTGTATATGAATCAATTAAACGAGGGTTGCTCAGAAACAAAATATATTGCAGAGGGGTGACTCTGAAAAAAAAACTATATAAAGTAACTTCAAGAATAATTTCTGGTAAGCTTGAAATTAAATTTGTTCAATCCATGCGAGAAAAGGGTATACTGTAGCACTAAGGTAAGATGTGAAATTGGTGGCCCTGTGGCATCATTAAAAAAAACTTTATATAGTATTCAATTGAATCGCTGAATACTGAAATGGCAACCAAATTCAGAAGGGGCTGCAGACTCGGATGAATGGGGGTGTTTTATTTCGGTGTTAGGCGAGGATGAAAATATGAGGTAATGGGTAACAAAAGAAAGAAAATAATATGTTTCCTCTTTACAAAGAGGGTGTTACGAAATAAAGTTTGTAAAAGGTTATCTTATTCAGGGTAAATTGTTACTTTCATAAAATTAATTATTTTAAGATTGGGTGTTACTCTTTTAGGTAATTAAGCGGCGTAGTGATTAAGTCACTTAAACATTTTCACTAGAGAACTTTTGATAAATGATCATTTTGCACCCACACAAGAAAGAAAAAAGAAAATACGTGTCGTATTCAAAAAAAGTAAGACGTAATGCCGTGAAGTATACCCTAGGATTTAGTTTTAAACATGTAACAAATCGTAATTTTAATTTTTATTTAAATTAAAATATAAAAAAAAACAACAAAAAATGTCAGTGCTAAAAATAAATTATTTCTCAAAGTTAAAATTGATGGAAAAATTCATAATTGAATTGAAAGCCCTGACAAGACGAGTTCAATAGCGTATTCTGCGTGCAAATTTGAGTTATGGAAGTTAGGGAATTGCTCATCCCAAGATCGAGAAGATTTTAAAGTGAACGAGTAAAATACGAGGGGGGACGTGGAAATTATGTTAACTCATGAATCCTGGATTGTTGGGGAAGTCTCACAAATAGGGTGACCCGTGACACATCGTTGGTCGAGTTGGGAATTATGTTTTAAAAGTTGTCATCAAAATAAATGTTACATTTCAGAAATTTTATAATAGAATCTTTAATAACCAAATAATAAATTCCCACCCTTAAATGCTAAACCATCACGGAGTGATACTTTCCAAGTCAAAGACCCATTTATCAGATTTTTACCAATTTAGTTAGCACTCTTCATCGTATCATCTTCTCCTCGTTTCTTCGTTATTCAGATTTGCCACGGAGAAACACCGGAGTGTTCTCCAAATATTCTACAACCGGGTATTAATAAGATTTATCATGTCCTGTAAGGAAACTATTGTGGCCCGTTGTGAAGGGAAATGTCTTTGAGTTTACAACACGGTTTTGACTTGCCAGAAAGTCAAGGCCAAGCATTGAGTACCGTCTAAAATGTTACATCCGCCTTTTATCCTCGAGTGAAATGGGTGAATCACGATCGATTTCGTAATTTGCTTACCCTTACAACGCTGTATGGGTCATTGTGGATCGTCTCACAAAAATCTGCACACTTTCTACTTGTTCGACGGGGTATGTCGCAATTGTCTCTACGAGATTGTCGATTGCATGGAGTGTCGGTATCTATTATCTCCGATAGGGGTCCCTGTTTCATTTCAAGGTTTAAGAAGGTACTTCAACAAGCTTTGGGTACCAAGCTAAATGTGAGCACTATCTTCCACCATCATGGCGGAAGTTGGTCTTGTAGTGTATCAGTTAAAGCTACCCCCTGAACTGAACAAGATTCACAATGTGTTTCATGTCTCTATGCTGCGACATTACCAATCAAATTCGACCCTTCAGTTACCCAAGGGAACAATCACTTTGGACAATAACTTGACTTATGAGGAGGAGCCTGTGCAGATCTTAGCACGGGAGCTGAAGCAGTTGAGAAATAAGAGGGTGCCTTTGGTCGAAGTCCTGTGGCGCAGTCATGCCGTTGAAGAAGCCACATGCGAGACTGGGGATTATACGAGAGTTCGATATCCTCACCTTTCTAGCAACAATGATTTAGGTGAGAAATTCTCTTAAGGGGGTGAGAAATGTAACGCCCCGAAAACTGGCTTAATATTTTATTTAATTTATAAAATTAATTAATTATTGGGCCGGTCAACACAAGGGTTACTTTCTAACTTGCCTTAATTAATGGGGGGTTAATCCTATTTTGTAGAGCTCGCTGTTCTGAACTCGATCGCGCAAACGGATCGTAAATTGGGCTTATTGGGTCCAAGATACGGTTGACGAATCAGATAATTGGAGTTAAACTTATCCAAATGGGTTAAGTAGGGTAAAGTGGACTCTAAATGTATTTAATTATATACGGAGTATTAAACTAGCTTGGGAGTTACAGACACGCACAAAACCTCTCCTTCTTCCCTGCGTCCGTTTCCTTCGCCGTTTTGCTCGTTCCCTCTGCACGCTGCACCGACGACGAGAGGCGACCAGGAATCCGACGCTGCTGACCGCTGCCGTTTCTCTCTCTCTCTATTCCGGTTCGCGTGCGCCAGGCCGACGAGGAGCAGCGGCGACCAACCCTTCCTCTCTAAGATCCGATTTCTTCAAGTTTTGAGGTGATTCGTGGTTCCTATACCTTCCGTTAGCGTTAATTCGTAGATTAGAACTTCCTTAACGTATAATTTGTAATTGATTGTGAATTTGATTGTTAATGGATGAAATTGGTTGTGTTTGAAGAAATTGGGGGTTGAACACCGCCAGAATCCGGTGAGACGCCGGCGGCGGACGTCGGCAGCCTGGCCAGGGCTGCGACAATGGCTTTGGTTGGCTCTGTGGGATCCAATTGGGTCCAATTAGTTCCCATTGGATTCAGTTCGGGTCTAATAGGGTTCAATCGGGTCCGTTTGGGTGCAATTGGGTCTGTTTTGGGGCTGTTTGGGTGGCCAAGGAATACCAAACGGGGCTGTTTGGTCTGCTTCGGGTTTGGGCAGCCGGGGTGGCTACTGGCAGGGTGCCGGGTTGTTCCGGCGACGATGGGGACTGCTTCGGCGGGGGCAGCGGGCCTAAGGATCGATTCTTTGGGCTCAATTCCGTGCAGGTGAGTTGAGTTAATTGTAATTTGGGTTTGTTTGATTATGCATGACGGTAATCGTGGATCTTTGGCTCGGATAGGCCGCTATGTGATTTGTTGTGAATTGTGAACTGAGATTTAAATTAAATTGATTTTGTTGATGAAAATTGTGGATTATGAATAATATANGGGGCGTCGTCGCACACCCGGTGGTCTTGGGTTAAAAACGTACGTACGGAAGTCCGTGACCTGTCCTGGCATCGTAGGGACAGGGGCTTCAACCCGCCCAAAGTGAATCTCCTTTGGGTTTTTGAGCTGGCCCTTTTATAGCATCGCTTGGGGTGCCATGACTCAAAGTAGTTGATGTGGAATAAAATAAGGACATGATGTTCAAATGGAAGGTGTTAATATAAATATTTTTATTTAAGCTATTTTTCTTCGTGATCACATGCTGTTGCTGATTGTATGTTAATGTGGTGCTATTCAGTGAGTTAATGCTGGCTTAGGTATATTTTCACTCAGCGTTTTGCTGAGCGTGTAGTCGTTGTTGTTTGACTGCACGCAGCTAAGAACACAGATTTGGATGGACAACCCAGAGGGCAGTGAAGTGGTGGTGTGGTGTGGATGGCTCTTGTTTACTTTAATAATTAAACTACATAATTTTATTTGATTATATAGATTGTTGGACGTTACTTGGGTTTTATTATGCTTCCGCGACATTTGGATTTATTTAATTATTCTGATGAGTTTGGGTTTAGTTAAAACTCTACGGACGAATTTTATAATTGATTTAATTGTTATTTTTGAAAAGAAAATTTATGCATGCCGTATGGAATATCAACTTAGTGACAACCCGGTTCGCTAACCCGTTGGTTCGGGTTACGCGGGTTGGGGTGTACATCATATACATTTAAAAATTCTAAGTCTAATAAAAAAATATGCTTTATTTTAAAATTTGCAATTTTCATTTTAAAGTTACTATTTTCCATTAATAGCTTTATAAAAGAATTTAGATTTATGCCAAAAAATTAACTATCTTTCATTAATAACTTTCTAAAATGGTAAAAGTTGGTACAGTAGTATTTATATTTAATACTCCGTATTTGTCTTTCTTCAAAAAAAAAAAAGGTGAGACTATGGATCGCTAGCGAGCTAGTCATCAAAAGGATAAGATTTAGGCAGTTCGTGGCCTCATGCCGTTTCATTCCTTAAGATAAAGCTCCCAAGATCATGCTCACCCTCTCCAAGCAAATCACTCTGCCCCTCACACAGTTCCCCTCTAAACCTCACCGCAGCCCCTGCCTACCTTTCACACTAGCTACAATTAAGGCCGGTGCTTCCGGAGATGATCCGTCTCCGCGGGCACCGAGCCCGGTTGGGATGCGGTTCCGGACAGGGGCCAGAAAACGAAGACAGATGCAGCAGGAGGTCGGTTCAGGCGACGGAGAAGCGGCGATGAGAGCAAAAACGCCGCACCGGCTAAGGATCGGGAATCGATGAGCCTTGGGGAGAAAGTGGCGGAGATTTACATGGGAGAGAAGGGTGTTCTCTTCTGGCTTAACAAATTCGCTTACGCTTCCATCTACATCGTCATCGGAGCATGGATAGTGTTTCGGTTCGTCGGCCCCGCCCTCAATCTGTATCAGTTGGAGGTGCCTCCCTTGGCTCCAGAATCCATGATTAAGGGTTCATAATAGTAAGCTCGATCAATTTCGGGCAGGTTCGTAAATTATAACAGAGATTCATCGCTGGGGGGGGGGGACAATTTCTTGGAATGTTGATCCAAAATGTCATTTGTTGATCCAAATTGAAATTGAGATTAAGTGCTGTATTTGTAGTCTTTAAAACCATGTGTAATTTGTTGGTCCAATTTGGCTACACATATTGTTCCATGAATGCCATAAGTTCTCGTATCCAACTATATACTCCTCGTATTCTTTTATGGGCAAATAGCGCCTTGTTCCAGCAAAACAAGCACCAATACCCGTTTTTAAAACTCATTTCTAAAGTCCCTGTAGTTTTATAATGCTGCAACCGTGCCCCGTCTGATAATTTTCTGGCCATTTTTCCGGTAAAGAGGGGGCATTGGTGCATGTTTCATAAACCATAGGGGTATTGGTGCTTATTTTTATTTTTTGCATAATTTTTGTTTTTCCCATTTTTCCCATATTTTGTTTCATTTATTAATAAAGGTTTTTTAAAATTATTTTTATAATGTTTCTTAAAATTTAAAGTTACTTTTGTTAGAAAAAATTAAGATAAAATGCATATGTACGTCTCAAATTAACAATTTTTATTTTTACTGAAAAATGTAAATTTTTTTGAAAACTTCAAGAAAATAAGGAATAAAATAAGAAACACAATAATACAAAAAAATGAATATCCTTTTTGAACATATTAATTCTAAGAACTTTTTTATCCGTGTCTAATTTTTTTTTGTATAAGAATTTTTTTGCGTGTTTTAATTTTTTCATTTTGTTTTTTCATATTTTTATTTTTTATTCAGGATTTTTTTGAACTTTCTAAAAAATTATTCTAAGTAACAAAAAGTGAAAATGTTTAATTTTAAATAGATTTAATATATGTTAATTTTTTTATTTTTATTTTTATTTCAAACACAGAATTTTAAAATTTTTGAAACATTACAAAAATTGAAAATAAATTTTAAGAAAAATCTAGGTAAAGAAAAAAGAGATAGAAAATATTTTTAAAAAGGGAAGAATAATAAACGAAAATAAGAAATGAATACGAAGGCCCCTTATGGTTTAGAAACTATGCGCCAATGCCCCAATTCACCGGAAAATGGCCGGAAAATGATCGGATGGGGTGTGGGTGCAACGTTTTGAATTTTGAAACCATGGGGACTTTAGAAATAAGTTTTGAAAACAGAGGGGGTATTGATGCTAATTTCCCAAACCACGGGGAGCATGGAAGCTATTTGGCCATTCTTTTATTACGAATTAAATATAATTTAAAATAATTAAATATTGTAAAAATTTTATATTCGGTATTTCAATACAACATTATAAAATAAACCCAAATTTATTTAATTTACGTTATAACTAGATATTTTTTTCTATAATTAGTGATCAACGAGTGCTACACTTTTGCTTCATCATCCTTCATACTTGGTCTGTCCCTGAGTGTTTGTCCACTTTTGACTTTTGGAACTGTTCATCTAAACACTTTGACTTATCAAATTCTCTCAATGTGTAAGCCTAAAAATAGTCATGTGTGATCTTGTTTGATTCGTCTTAACATATAGATTATTAATATATAACTTTTATAATTTTTTAATATACAAATTACAAGATAAAATGGATTAAAGAAGTGCATTGGATGATGTGCAAAAATGAAAGTGGACAAACACACGGGAATGGCGGAATCGAAGTTAAACATTCTAAAGTTTATTTTTGTTGTTCGTGCATATGGAGTATATGGAATTGAACTTTCCCATTAGCAATTAATGCGGTTTGGAATTCTCAAGAGTTTACCGAAAAAGAATTAAAAGGTCCAATTAGTAGGAAGTTGAATTCTATGAAATTGTTTTGGATGGAATTGAATTCTCCAATTCAAATTCATTTTTTGGCAAAATCAATTCCAACTACACATATTTTTTTGCTACTAAACAGAAAAAGTGTAATTGTTGTCTCCAAATCCAATTCTATAGTTTGAATCTCGTATACCAAATGAAGCCTAAAGTTTTGTTGGGCTTCCCAATACTTAGAACACTGGTAATACATGTGAAGCCCTAGGACTTTAAAACTTCTCTCTGTGCCACAATAGCTTTAACTTACTTCACAGTTTCCCTGAAAATGGTTTGAAGTCCTAGGGGTTTAAATTGGGGCTCCAAACCTTTATTTTTTACATTTTTAATACACATCTTCTAAAACTAAATTAAACAAAACTTCATTTTAATTAAATTTAAATGGCAATAATTCATTAAAATAAAAAAATTACAATCAATAAAAAAAGAATATTTAATAAAAAATACATTAATGAAAAAATAAGGCAAATTATATTTGACCTTTATCTCTTTTTGTCTTCTCCCGTAATGTTATATCCGGGCTTGGCCCTATCATACCCTCCCCCATGTCCCACACCCGAGGCTGAGCCCACACTACCCATACCTTCCCTAAACATCCAAAATATTTCCTTTTCAAAATAAAGTTTTTCCTACTCTTATTTTAGCCATGGCCGAAAATAAGAGTGTGTAAACCAAAACCTTTTTGTTTGTTGTTATTTTCCTTCTATTAAGTCTTTTAATAAACCAGTAAAACCCTCTCTTCCTTCCTTTCATTCCCTGCCCAAATAAACCTCACAATCCCAACACAAACACCCACAAAGAGCCAAAACCATTACCCACCTCCAGTCCCTACTTCCTGCCCATGTTTTCCCTCACAATAACCCAAAGCCATAACTCCAAAATACCCACAAACAATACCCAACCCTGTCCCCTTTTAATGACCAAAAACGACCCCTCTTTTACTCCCCAACATTGACCAACCATTGTCCCCCTTGTGTCTCCCACCTAGGCTGAATAAACAATAACAAAAGGACAAAAGACTTTTGTGAGTTTATTGACACTCCACCCACCAAATCAGTCCCCACATACCTTCCATGAATGACCCAATATAAGGCCAATAAAACCAACCATCACCCATCCCCTTTGTCCCCCATTATTTCCCAAGAATCATCACTTATTTCCTTGTGATTTTCCTCACTAAAGGACAAGCCACCAGCCATGAAAATCAAAGACCAAATCCCTGATTTCATTCCATTAAGAAAACATAAACAAATGGATATTATTCTTGTGATTTGTGAGTGGATGTTTCTGGGAAGTTTCCCCCCTATGTGTGTGTATTTATTTCGGCCTTAGGCC